AAATTTTAGCCTAACAGGTTCTTAAATGTTAGGTTCTTATACGCGGGTTTATACTGTATCGAATTGTACCTTATATAGTCGGCTCTCTCGTTTGCGGCCCGGCTTTTGGCTGGGTTTAGTGGGCCAAGGTCTATATGTAGCACTCACCAACGGCACTGCCAATAGAAGCAAAGAAAGAAAACCAACAACGAGCACAATTTCTCTTTTCATTATGAACAATAGCCTGAACTATCGACAACTATCTTCCGGGATCTTYGTCCAARAGAAGAATTCCTTCTAGAAGGGAATCTTGGTCTGGTGTATTTATGTACCAAACCGACTGGGTCATGCTGAGAGAGAGAGAGTAGTTATTACCTTGCGATGTGTCAAAAAATACTACATAGTGTTAATAATTGTCTTCCCTTAATTACACAATATATACAATATACAATAACCGGAAGACTTGAACCATCTGCCGGTCAGTTAGTACTGTGACCGTATTAGCTACAAACTCTGTTAGTGTACGAATATAGACTCTAGCCCTTCTTTGCCTCCTTACCTCGCCCTAAATCGCGATCGCCTGAAATTATGCCCCATATATTTGGAACTTATATATGCCTTATATTGCCAGAAATATGAGAAGGGGGAGGGGGTCGTGTAAAAATTCTTCGTTAGACGAATGTCGCTGCTGAACATGCAAAACGAAATCAGAAGAGATCCGTTTCCAGAAATGTTATTTCCTGCCTTGTGCAGGGGATATTTTGGACCAAAAAGGAATAGAGCTCAGATAGCTTTTTTTCCCCACTACTTGAACAGAGTTCTCACCTTCACATCGATGATTATGAGTCTACTAATGATGATTTATAATCATGATGATGATCATCGATTAACCAGCAAGGCCTTTTAATTGTTTCGTTCATTTCAGTACATAGTAAAATATTTGATACAATGTGCGCGTTAAATCGTGTTTATATCAAAGGACAGAGACATGCTCGCTCACAATCGTTCAAAAGACTTTATAAAAGCAATATAAAACAGAAAAAGCACTCTGGAAACCGTAGAACATTTGAAAAGCAAGACAAATACTTGGCTACGCCTCGAACTCCTAAGCTTGCTTCTCTAGTGATCTACAGCTCCTAGCGTGTTTCTATTCCTTCATTAAAACTATTTTAGAAAGACAAATTTGATAGAAATTGTAAGCCTAAATATAAGGCATATTTTTGTTCAAAAATGGAAAAGACATGTATTACGAGAAGAATCTTGGAATTAAGCCAAGGTCCTAAATCAAAAACGGTCCTTTTATTAAGAAGTCGTGATCCTATATGCTTTGAGATAAGAATTATCTCTAAAGAAAAAAAAAGTTGTAATCAGAAAAAACACTTTTAAAACAAGCTCCTTCGTCAAAACTTTCCTCATCTATAGGCATAACTTGACTACTAATGTGCTCGGCAGAATCCACAAAGTAATCCAAATCAAACGAATTTTGTTCGAGAAGTCCAAGCTCAACAAGCTGAGATGCAGTCCATTCACCAAACTATTAAACAGATAGAAAAACAAGCAATTAATTTCGAGCGTAAAGTATTCGACTTTTAAAAAAACATTCAATATATTTGAAAAATGGAATAGTATCGACAAGAATACTTACCAAAGCATTGATGTCCATATTTCCAAATCAATATAGAATTCAGCCATGATGAGATAAATCCAATAACGTTGAAATAACTAGCTAGTTCACTGCTCAACACGTTAGCTCCAAATGTGGAATAAAATTCAAAATCCCCGCGCTCTATAAATTGAGTTGCTAAACAAAAGACTTGCCTAAACTTGCCTAACAATACTCTCCCCGTCGCTTTATGGTAATGATTTAATAAACAATGGATGTGCCCATCAATGGCCCACCATTCCCGAAACAAAGATATGTTTATACCGGTCAACAATAGTCTTATGACGTCAACTGGTCGTCATGGTAACCCGAAACAATACTCTCCCCRTCATTTTTGCTAATATTTGATAGATATTATTAGTGTGCCCACCACTAGCTCACCACTAGCCCACCACTAGCCCACCCAAACTCGGATCGTGAGGTCCCTACACTAGTACTGTCGCACTTGGCCGTTGTGCAACGTTGACAGAATTTTGTCAGTTTCTTGACTTATCTAGACACGCTTGTTCTGAATTGTCCGTCACTACCAAACTTCAAAGAAGCCGTTGTCGAGACAAACTAACCACAGAGTAAAGATTCGAGTTATTATTCGTGTGGGGATTCGAGTTAGGATCAGGTATACAGTCCTTTGACTAAACGCTGTCGTTGATCGGATCATCCCTACGCGCCTAGATCGAAAAGGATAATGGGTAAATTAACATAAATAATTAATTGTTCTCTATCAGTCGGTGACAATCGCGCAATGCCAAGAGCAAAATGCACATTTGCCTTTGCGTTTTACGCAAGGAAAACAAGAGCCGTTTCACATCATATTCCATCAAGGATGTCCCAAATATCGACAACGTGCAGGCGCTAAAAGATTATCTGCTTGAGCGCTGTTCCTGCAGACGAGTTATCGCCGGCTACAGATAATAGCTTCGAAATAGGTTACTTTGGGGATAAAAGCCAAAAATTTAGTATTTCCAGTCCAGTACAACTTGCTCAAGACGTGTTAGATAAGATATGCTGTAGCTAGTAACTGTAAATTAATTAATTAGTCAAAGGACTGTAGTTTAGACGTCATCCCCATGCACCCGTGTCACGCTAGAGATCCGCATCGTGATATATATAAATTGATGAACGATGTTCTTTTGAACATGAACTCTTAGCATGTCACACTTATGGTGCTGCTCGATCTCAGTGCGGCCTTCGACACCGTCAACATTCTGTTCAAGAGGCTTGAGAAGGACATTGGAATGCGCGGCGTTACACTTGACTGGTTTCGTTCATATACAGATGGGGAGTACCAAACCATCAAGTTTGGATTCGAGTTGGAGTTGGAGATGGAGTTACGGATCGAGCTAAATACTGATTTTTTTGGGTTATGGTATTATCACCCCGAAGTAGATTGCTTTCAATAGCTCGGGGCTTTTAGTAAAAGCGTGAAATGCAATTGCGTGAAACGCAAATACGATTTTGTACTATTTCGTTAAWAATCGGTTGAAGCGTGAAGAGCAAATGCTCATGTGCGTCGAATTAAAGAAATAACACAATGCGCAAGTGAAATAGGTTTAAAGTTTTTATTCCTTCGCGCTGCTGCAAAATAAAGACACAAGGCACATCTAAACTCTCAAATTGTTTGAATGAAAAAGAAATCGTAGAATCAGTCACTCTTCTATTGACGATTTATGTTTCTAATGAGAATGATTAATTTTAGCCCAGTTAACATAAGGGATATGAGTTATTTTGTGGCAACTTTTAATATTGAACGCTGGACTGATATTTTTTGGAAACAAATTTGTAAGGACCTTTACGTGAGTCACGAGTAAAAGGGTGATGCTTTTAAAATACTGTATTCCAGAACGAGTGCAGTGTTGTATATTAAATGATCCCTTATGTTACGTCATAGTCATTAACATATTGGAAATATAAACCTTCGTATCTCAAAGACCCGACATTGAAATGACGAATTATTTTCGCAATCAACTATTCACTATTTAAAGAATCAATTCTGAAAATATTGTGCAAAGGCTTATAAGCACTTTAACAGTAACAACTAACTGAAACAGTAACATTTGACATTAAAATGCGATATAATAAGAGATAATTTCATATGTAGAAATCGCACTTAGCTACACTAAGTAGCTCATAGCCCTTCGAGACTACTTGTAAAAGCATATTAAACGAGTTCAGCTTATTTTATTAATCTATGCATTCACGTTTAGCAAATTATTATTATCATTAATTATTAKTAGTAGTTTTTTAATAATATTAATTAATAAAGGCTGTCAGACTGCTAAACTCTTGTGTACGTTTTTTTACTACTGATTTATTTTGTACATATCGTTGTTGTTTATTGACCTCTAATTCAACTTACTGTTGGGTATGCATTTGATACGGCTGTACATTGTTACTTGTAACTTTTATAAGATTCATTCTTTGAAGCCGATATTATTTTCTTTCAGTTATAGTAAGAGTCCTGCAAACACAAATCTACGGGAAAAGATCCGATCGAGCAGAAAATGGAAAAAGTGCCAATCATTGACATTTCTCCACTTATTGAGGGTAAGTGCTTGACAGAAAAGACACAAATGTGGGCTTAGAGAGCTCGTTGATCTGACCGGTCAGGATGCCACGTACGAGATCAAACATGTCATCAGGTGAAGCAGGGGTTACGACACATGTCAAGTAGGATATTCCGCACAAGTATCTTACTCCTGCTATAAATGTACATTTGTAGACCCTACTGTTTTCAAGTAAGCTGAGATTGTGGCCACAACCGCTGGGGGGAATGTTATATATACACTTAATTTCTGGTCGCGAGGGAAATAGTTAGCTATTAAGACTAACTAATTTCCCGAGGGACCAGACATTAAGCGTTTTGTTATATAGCAATGAACTTTATTTAGCAAGCTAAATGCATGTACATTTTTCCTTTGTTGCTTTTTTCTTTGTTAAAATTTCCTTGTTATTTTTTTCTTTGTTAATTTTTTCACTGGCTACTTTTCTTTTTTGTTGACGTTTGTTGACTTTTCGGTCTTTGTTGACTTTTCGGCAACGTTCATGATATGCTCCAGTTTGGGCTTCTCTGTTGCTCAGGGTAATTGGCCTCCATGTCAGTTTGTGTAGAATATTCACATGCTCCAGTGAAGATCGGTGGAATTTCAAAGTGTGTTTGTATTGTTGAAGTCATGCATTCTCTACCTTATCGTTGGCTTTTTGGTGTGAATATTTTGCCGCTGAAAGTAAACTAACCCTGAGTAAACGACTTTGTAGTTAATGAACAAGTTGGAAATTTYAATTCGGGACTCGAAAACGATATAATCCTGTTTTTTTTTGTTTTTTTTTCAACGGTAAAACTAAATAAGTTTTGCTTGAAATCGCCGAAACTATTTACCATACCGAAGTCGAGTAAAAAACTGGGCAACTTACAATGGCAATGCAATGTATTGTGGGATTGTGTTAGGGATTTCATAACACTATCGCGGACACTAGAGAAAAACGTTTGCGCATGCGTGCATTTCAGCACGTTTTCTAAGAATTTTGAAGAGTTTGAATGAGAAAATAAATGTTTGTTTTCTCCAAGTATACAAAATATTTCGCGAGTATACTTTTGTCAGACCAAGATACTGTATTACTGATAAACACAATGTGAAAGAATTACCCTTAAGTTTCAAGCATGGACACTAAGTTTTGGCATTTTGTAAGGTCCAATTTATCAGGCATGTTTGAAAGTCAAATTTACTTTTGTTTTGACTAATTTGCATACGSATTCAGAGCATGCGCAGACGTTTTTCACTCGTGCCACTATCGCGTCTATTTGGTCCCATAAAATAGTCACACAATGCACTGCAATGCCAACCCCAGTCATTTTTTTTCTCAACCTCTGAATGTGGATGTTATTTACATACTAAAAATGTTCTGTAAACAGGTGACCAGATCAAAGCTGATTCTCTTGCGAACGAATTTAAGTCCGCCTTAGAGAGCTTTGGTGCATTCTACATCAAAGGCCATGGGATCCCTGTGGACGCAATGAACACAGTCCTCCAACAAGCACGTGATTTTTTTAGTCTACCGCTGGAAAAAAAGAATGCGTTGTCATTCAAGGACAGCAATGCATTTAGAGGGTATTTCCATATGGGTAAGTCTAAACACAGGTAGCCCAACCTCGAAGTTAGTAGTATTAAGTTCCCATACTGATCTTATACTAACGTCGAGTTAACAATACCGACAGTTTTTTATGTGTCTGTCCTCTGATTGATGATAAAAAATAAGCAATCAGCGCGCGGGAAATGTGTAAGTTATTGTAAAACTTGGGCTACCCGTTTTTTAACCCTCTCTTTTGATATCACCCTGCCACCGGCCACGTTGTCAGGAATAGACCCGTTTCGAATTCCAAATTACCGCTGTGTTATTTGATTACACACTCATTTGCACAGGGTTAGCTTCGTATCAGTGTTTAAATATTCACAAATACCAACGGTAAAGTATAGAATGCACAACTTTAACAATACGAACACTTTGAAACTCGACGGACCTTGACTGGAACACGTGAATATTCTGCACAAAATCGAGGCTAACCCTGTGCAAATGAGTCTGTAATCAAGAAACACAGCGGTAATTTGGAACTCGAAAGGGGTCTATTATCCGCAGGGCGAAACAAATTTCATACTGCGCTCCATTTTGTATCGTACAACCGTCAACCTTCGCGGGGTACTCTCGGTTATGTGCACCGTGGGACTGTTTTAGGGGAAATATTTTCAATATGGGTCTATTTTGTCGCCTACAAGAGGCCTACAATAAACTCCAATGCCATATCGATTCGGTTTGTTTCTCAACCTCGAAATGGTTAATATTTGGGTTCTGGCAGCAAAACATTCAGTCAAGTTTAATGTGCTGTTTTTGCACTGGCGGGATATATGCCAGATATTTACCTACGTACTGTATATATTCCTTGGCTAATCTGGCAAAATTTGTAATGAAATAGATAAAAATAAGACAAAGCAACACGCGACTTTCTTTATAGTGTTTACTATAACTGGGGGGCCACTTACACAGCTAACCAATCAAAATGTATCATGCATATACATAAAAGCAATGTGCATTCCTACTTTGGGTAGTGGAGCCAATCAGAAACCTAGATTGCACGAGAATTATAATTTGACCCTGATGTTACGTAAAAACAACTAGATAACCATCGTCATTTTCTCCTTAGAGTAAAAAAATATGTTGAAAGGCTATTGTTTCTGATAGCTTCTGTTTGGCTCCACTACCCAAGCTGTAATGTACGTGCATTGTTTTAATTCGACATTTTGATTGGCTCTTCTCTGTGTTAATGGCCCCTGTTTCAATAGCCTCACTATCTAATATCATATCATATTCCAGGAGCAGAACTAACTGCCGGGAAGCCAGACATCAAGGAAGGGTTTTTCTTTGGGAGTAATGAAGGACGTGAGTCAGACTACGCAATGTTTGGTGAAAACAGATTCCCAGACGAGAAAGATCTGCCTGATTTTAAAGTCTGCATTGAATCCTTCATGTCTTCACTGTCCGATCTAGGGTATGAACCAATCATATATCAAAAATCTTATTACTTGGCACACCAGAAAATTAATAATCTTCCATAAATTAATAGCTGAATTGCTTTATTAAAATATGTTAAACAATGAAGAATAAGACGGTAACTAGCTAGTCAGCGCGGGCGTTATATCTCAAATATTTTATCCAGGAAGCCAATCTGCTTGCGTGTTATATTTCAAATATTTTATCCAGCCAGCCAATCTGCTTGCGTGTTATATTTCAAATATTTTATCCAGCCAGCCAATCTGCTTGCGTGTTATATTTCAAATATTTTATCCAGCCAGCCAATCTGCTTACGTGTTATATCTCAAATATTTTATCCAGCCAGCCAATCTGCTTGCGTGTTATATCTCAAATATTTTATCCAGGCACCCAATCTGCTTGCGTGTTATATCTCAATTATTTTATCCAGGCACCCAATCTGCTTGCGTGTTATATTTCAAATATCTTATTTCAATGAATAACACTTGGAATTAGGAAAACTTGCGAAGAAGTAATTTTTTCAACAGCTGACTCAATATGTCGTTGGACGTTGCAAAAAGTATCATATTTTTTGTTGTTTTGGTCAGACTTTGTAAGCTTGATTGAAGGAAACGCCGATTAGGACAAGAGTGAAAATGCACTGCGCATGCTCTGAAGTTCGGCAAGAAACTCGTAGAAGTGTCGTTTGACGAGGGAAAGAAAACAACTATAGTTTGGTGAGACAGGACTGCCATTAACGTGGTCCAATCCGAACCACTCGAAAGTCTAACCATTTGTAGAAGTATTACAAAGGCAGCACTTTCTCGCCGGTTGTTTTAAGACTCTGAGTGTTGGTCCGGCCGAGAGGTGGCGCTCAACCAACTGAGTCAATCCATTGATCCAACCGATTGAGTTAAGAGATTTATCTCAATTAATAATGGAATTTTTTATTCTAACCTACAGAATGAAGTTTGCACAATTGTTTGCTGGTGGTCTTGGTCTGAAAGATGACTTCATACAAACAATGTTTAACCCGCCGTTCTATAACATGACATTATGGCACTACCCTCCCCACCCTAAAGTCCAAGACGGCTGGGGGATTGGGCCTCATACTGACTATGAAGTCTTTACTTTTCTCCTTCAAGACAGTGTTGGGGGACTGGAAATGAAAAGACGTGATGGGCGCTGGGTAGATTTACCACCCATAGAAGGTAATGTTTCCTTAGACCTCTTTACCTGGYTTTCCGACCACCACGGAGTGGTTCGTAATTCCGAATACATTGTTTTACTTAACAAATAAAATACATTTACTGTGTTTGCACACGCTAATGCAAACCGAGATGTGGTTGGGAGAATCCGAGAGCAGATCAGTGCACCTGCTCGAGAATTCTCCCAACCACATCGAGGTTTGCATTAGCCTGTGCAAACACAGTAAATGTATTTTATTTGTTTTATAAAATTATTTTCTTCAAAAACAAAAATAACGAAAMACGATCAAATAAAACAGAAGAATTTAGTTCAAAGTTTTAAAGACCCAACACGAGTTACTGAAACATCAAAATCTATGATTGACTTAATCTTCGTGAACAATGAACATCGTTATACTGACAGTGGGGTGGTAAATCTATCTATCAGTGATCATTCTCTCATTTACTGCGTTCTTAAAGTTGGTAAACCTAAGGCAAGTCCCAGGACAGTGGAATACCGTTTTTATAAGAACTATGATCGCAAAGCCTTTTTGAAAGACCTGAAAGACGTTCCTTGGAACTTTGTGGAAGACAGTGACGACGTTGATGCATCAGTCCTAGCTTGGAATAAACTATTTCTCGATGTGGCTGATGCTCATGCTCCAGCCAAGAAACGGCGAATCAATGGTATCCAATGTCCATGGATGACTTCAAAAATAAAAGAAGCTATGCACAACCGTGACTTCCATCATCGTAAAGCTACAAGAACTGGCTCTTCCTATCATTGGCGAAAGTACCGTCATCTTCGTAACAACGTTAATAGCGATATAAAGCGCAGTAAGTCAAAGTACTACATCGACCTGATCAAAGACAGCAAGGGAAACGGGAACAATCTGTGGAAAGCAATCAATAAAGCTACCTGCCGGAAGCAGGATCAGRCCTCTATTCCCAACTGCATAGTCTCCAATGGTGTTCAATATCTGGAGTCAAAGTCCATCGTCGACGTATTGAACAATCACTTTGCTTCCATTGGTCAACTTCTTGCAAAGAAAATCACCTCTCTTATTCCTGYCTTCTCACCCAATATCACTTCTGAGCCAGATCWAAGTTTCCATCTAAGTCCAGTCGATGAAACATTTGTTCTCAATCAATTAAAATCTCTCAAGACCAACAAGTCGATTGGATTGGACAACATTAGTGCTCGCCTTCTCAAGGATTCTGCAGATGTGATCGCTCAACCAGTTACTAATCTACTKAACTTATCTATCAAGCTCCACTCGTTTCCTTGTATTTGGAAATGTGCTAAGGTCATAGCCCTGTTTAAAACTGGGGATAGAACTGATGCCACCAACTATCGACCYATCTCTATTCTTCCGACTTTGAGCAAAATCCTCGAAAGAGCTGTCCACCTGCAACTCTACGAACATCTGAGTACAAACAATCTACTTTCTGACAAGCAGTTTGGCTTTCGACCTAAACGTTCAACATCAACTGCATTAGCCAGCCTTGCAGATGACATTCTACGTAACATGGATAACGGTAAACTATGTGGAGCTGTCTTCTTGGATCTGTCAAAAGCCTTTGACACAGTAAACCACACGATTCTAATGAATAAACTATCTTCAGCTGGTGTTCGTGACAACTGTTATGAGAGAGAAAATTAATGTTTTTACAGACTAAGCTAGACATCAGTTTTTCTAATTACTATTTCTTATCGTATGAAAACAAGATAAAGAACGATCAATTACTTATTGAAAATATCGATATAAGATTTCAGAAAGGCTGCCATCACGCACGAGTTTAGATGATGGTATGCTTTGAATTTACAAGTAAACTACTTAGCTCCTCCCATTAGCATGTACACCTATGGTTACACCCTAAACACTCTTTACCCCTTTGCTTAGTTATTTTACCACTATTCTTTTAAATCTTATGATATAATTATTCCTCGTAGACCTTTCTATACATTTAACATATATTCACATATTATCTTTAGTTTAAGTTATGTTTAGTTCTATGRTTTTCACTCGTATTATTCTTAATAAGATATCGCACTCAGGAATTTACTATTTCCATTAGCCAATCAAGGCACAGCGATGATATCATATTGATTGTAGAATGACACCTGTCATGAAGTTATTATAAATAGAGCTCATGTAATTAGTTTTAGTCAGAGTGAAGAGAAAGTAGAATAAAGATCCCGAGTAGCTCTACCGAGAGCGGTCCATCCCATAACACAACGATCTCAAATGGTTTGACTCTTACTTGTCATCAAGATGCTTACGCACTACTTGTGGCTTAGAAGTATCACAGCCATTACCATGCAACATTGGTGTACCTCAGGAAGTATCCTTGGGCCTCTTCTGTTCATCATCTACATCAACGATCTTCCTAATGTTGTCCGCCATTCTCAAGTATCCCTATACGCTGACGATACAGTCTTGTACTATTTCTCCTCCTCAGTTCCTGACATAGAAGATAAGCTTAATGAAGATCTCAAGCTGGTTRGTGATTGGTTTAAGATCAATCATTTGACCTTGAATGCAACCAAAACTAATGCCATGCTGTTTGGAAGCAAGAGAAAGACCAACATCTCCACCATCTCCATACAGGCCCACCTCAAAGACATCGAGAGAGTTCAAGAATTAAAGTACCTTGGTGTGGTCTTTTCCAGCAATATGTCTTGGTCTGCTCATGTTGAAAAACAGATGACCAAAATCAACAAACGTCTTGGTCTCCTGAGGCGAATCAAACATCTTTTGCCTAAATTCGCTAGACTCTTGTATTTCAACAGCTTGGTCCTACCGCTTTTTGATTATGGTGATATTGTTTGGGGAGATAAAGATAATATCACGCTTATGGAATCTCTTCAAACCCTGCACAACAAAGCGG